AGAGCCAAGGTTGCCTACCCCTGCCCTATACCATTTCAGACAAACGAATGTCCAGTCTTTTCTTAAAAATCTCCAGTGTTGGAGCATCCCCGGCCTCTAGAGCACCAAAGAACCTTGATTTCAACCCTGAGCTATAGTACAGATATCCTCCTCTCTCGGTGCTTCTAAATTGTTTGAAGGTCTCGTGAAACTAAATAACCATCTCCCAGAATGTTGCTGTTGAGAAGGAGATCCTATATTAACATTTCAGACCAATAGTTGTCCAATCTTTTCTTAAAAACCTACAGTGATAGAGCACCCAGAACTTGTGGTGGCAAGCCGTTCCACCGGTCAGTTGTTTTCACTGTCAGGAAATTTCTAGAACCTCTTAGTTTTAGGAACCCAGGAAGAATGGTGAAGGCTGAGCAGCTGGCCTTGATGCCATGGGCTTTTCATTTGGCCCATTTTTGTGCAGCTCTTGTTTTGCAGGCTACTTTCATTGTTTTTAAGGCAGCATAGGCATCATTTTGAGATTTAATTAAACCCTCAATTATTTTTTTTGCACATGGGCTCCATATGGCTAATTAGGTGTAGTTGAGTTTATTTTTTAAAAAAAGTTAGGTGTACAAAAAGGGGCCATAATATTTTCATATCACCCTATTTCCCCCCCTTGTCTTTATATCATTTCACATTTGTGTGTGTGTGTGTGTGTGTGTGTGTATCCAAATTTCTTTTTCTGACAAAGAGTTAAAGAATTAAATTGGGATTTAATTTAATTTAATTCTTTAACTCTTTGTCAGAAAAAGAAATTTGGATTTGTAATGTTTCGCAGTTGCGATTTGAGCCTGCTTAACACCCCTAGTTGGGAGGCTGCAAGGCAAAAGAGATTGAAAAAAGTAAAACTGCAGTATAGCAGTTAAAAATGTCAAGGTGTAATCAATCAGACGTCGGTCTGAAAAACTTCCTGCACATATATATTTATAGGTCTTTGGTTATTTGGGTTTTCTCCTGCGTCAAATTGGAAGTGTCTTGGCGATGTTTTGACGAAGTCCCATTCGTCATCTTCAGGCTGGTGTCTTCGGCTTCATTGCTCCTAGAAGCACGAAGCTGAAGACACCAGCCTGAAGATGACGAATGAGACTTCGTTGAAATGTTGCCAAGACACTTCCAATTTGACGTGGGAGAAAACCTGAATAACCAAAGACCTACATACAAACACCCGCGAAAACCTCAGAAAATATTGCTCCTTGAAGCACGAAGCTGAAAACACCAGCCTGAAGATGACGAATGGGACTTCGTCGAAACCTCGCCAAGACACTTCCAATTTTACGCGGGAGAAAACCCAAACAACGAAAGACCTACATATATATATATACATATATATATATATATATATATATATATATATATATATATATATATAAATGTATATTTGTTTTCTGAGGTTTTCGCGGGTATTTGTATGTAGATCTTTGGTTGTTCGGGTTTTCTCCCATGTAAAATTGGAAGTGTCTTGGCGACGTTTCGACGAAGTCTCATTCGTCATCTTCAGGAACTGCAGCGAGAAAGCTGGCCTTTCCTCAAGATCGTTTATTCCTAGAATAAGCAGGAAATGTTACCAGCTGCCAGTGAAATTCTCTGAGTTAATCTCCAGAGTTACCTTAATGGTTTTACATGATATGGATTCTGTTTTGAATTACATTTGAGGGAGACTGTTTTTAGAAAATAGGGATTAAAAAAATGTGTTTTCTCACTTGAACTTAGGCCACCATTTGGCAAGTGCATGGAAGAAGATTTTTCCCCACTTCTATAGCACGAATAAGTGGAAATAATTGTTCCGTTCGGCTTTGGAAGAGTTAGAACTGGCAAAGAAATTCAAAGCAGAAAAGTGAATCTGCAAAACATGTGATGTCCACACAGGATAGTGAGCACCATCAAAGGGGATCTGGAGAAGGGAAAAAAGTTTTCAGAAGACTCCTAAGAACATGAGCCTCGTGATTAAGATAGAAGAGTTACATGCACTCCAAACCAAATAACAGAATATCAGAAGGGACCTTGGAGGTCTTCTAGTCCACCACCCTACTCAAGCAGGAAAGCCTATACCATTTCAGACAAATAGCTGTTCAAACTCTTCTGAAGGCTAATTGTTTTCACTGCGTCTCTCCTTGATTAGTTTCCATCCATTGCTTCTTGTCCTGCCTTCAGGTGCTTTGGAGAATAGGTTGACCCCCGTCTTCTCTTTGGCCTTATTGGAACACTTCAGTTAATAATAATAATAATAATAATAATAATAATAATAATAATAATAATAATAATAAGTTGAAAGGGACCTTGGAGGTCATCTAGTCCAACCCCCTGCTCAGGCAGGAAAGCTTATAACAGTAGTGGCAAACCTTTTAGAGACTGAGTGCCCACACTGCAACCCAAAACCCACTTATGCATTGGCGGGTGGGCGTGGCCACCAAGCTGTCGGGTCGTGCTCACTTGCTCGCTGTCTGCTCCGACTTGTGCTCGCTCTCTC